TTGAGACGTGTCACCGCGCGACCCCTAGTCACGCGTTTTGTCCGGTTTTACTTTTAGCAATTTATTGCGGTCCTTGATAATATGCATCTGCACTTCGCGCTTATAGTGTGTGTTTTCCAGTGTATCGGAGTGTAAGGCCAGTCGGACTTTCACAAGGTGATTGCGTAATCAGGTATTCAGCTAAGGAGACAAGCGGACTAGGAGGTACAGAGGTATTGGGCGCGGGCCATGAGGATGGTGATCATGTCTACTTTGACGAGAATGATGACGTAGATGATGATGAGCACAAGGACTCAGTAGAAGAAACACCGAAGGAGCCAGTGAAAGGAACACCGAGTAAAGAGGATAATGAGCTCCCTGAAGATGATAGGAAGAGTAAAGCCAACGATCAGCCTATTGAGAAGAAGCCTGCGAGGTATACTTGGAGGGCTGATCGTTCACGCGCCCTAGATGTTGTGTCTCCCCGCAGTGACCCTTTGAGTTTGAGGATGCTCGATGACGAAGCAGAGGCCGGGGAAAGACAGTCGAATTTGCTGTCACTAGCAGGCAGCTTCATTAACCGCGCCTACATGCGGCTTGGCTTTGTGGGAATATTACGCTCGTGAGGAACGGATAGGTGTTGTCGTAGCGAGAGAGAATGGCCTCAGATATGAACTGCAGATTGAAAAGCAATTGAACGTACTCAATGCTGTGACGGAGCAGATCATAGTAACTCACTGGCCAGTTATAGGCGTCTTAGAATGCGGCCGGGGTTTGTTTGGATAAGTGCAGCAAATAGGCTCAGCCGATTGAGAGGATTCCTGTGTGAATCACGAAACCATGGCTGATGTTTCCTCTCTCTGATTTTGAGAGTTCGAAGGTCAGCGAAATCAATATGACTCGATTGACGACGTTTTACAAGCATTCTGAAGTCCATAGTTATAATCTCAAATATCTCAAAAACATAAGTTCCCTGACATCCATTCTCCTGATCAGGCTCAAGGGGAGGCTTGGATAGATGAGCTCAAGACTTTCCCGGAGGTTCGACCTGGCCTTTTTCCTCTCGCTTAACTCTCTGGTGGTGTTTAGATGCAGAACGAAGTTATCGCTCGCCACAAGGATTCTCTCGAGGATGTTAGGGAGAGATTCGAGCGGGTTATGCCGAGATCTGGGAGTGAAGCCGTTCCTGATGAAAAAACTGATGAGGCTACTGAGGAAGGGGACACACAGGATATGCCTGGGCACGACATGGATGTAGACGAAGATGAGTGAGAGAGCATCGTTGAGAGCCGGTCTTGAGCTGTTGGCCATGCCTATATGCACTACATGCTGCTTTCCTGATATTAGTGTTGTGTTGAACGGAATTTGGTATAGTTTTTCTCGAATCTAGTTTCACCGAACCCGGGTTACTTTCCGATAACGGTTTCTGCGGCATTGGAAGCATGGCGAGGATTCGATCTTCTACCCAGTATGCGTTGTCACTTTTGAAGAAACGCGATGATGCGCTTTAGTATGTTGAAACCGAGTGAGACACGAGCTGGCAAGCGGCATACTTTCGTCTGTTAGTGGTTGATTGGTTGTTTTCCCGGGGTATCTAATCCGTACGTTCATGCGATTTCCAATGATTGGCAGTTGAGGCTTTTAGAGTTGGCATGGAATTGATTGTACAAGTACACATTTCGATTGCGCTGAAGAGCTCTCCCATGATGGGAGTCCCATCTGGGCACGATACAACAGTATCTTGCAGCGAATGGAGGTATACTAGTGCATGAGCTCACTCTATTGTGGGTAGCCGATATGACAACTCATAGGTATAGCTACATTGGAGCAGCTCAGAATAATCAACTATGGGTGATGTCGATGCTGTATGTAGCCATTACGTCGGCATCCCTTGACTGGATCTGCTGACGGAGCTTCTTGAATGTCTCGGCGAGGAATTTCGAGACGTTTGGCGTGTGTTTCTTTGACAGTTAAATTTTGCTCTGTTGTGAATCCTGATTGAAGTTAGTCGTATTTGCATTTGAGTTGTTCGTGAACTTATTAACCTCAGCGATCGTACATGTTTGAATCTCAACCGTGATATGGAAAACACTAGTCAAAACATATTTCACGAATCACTTCGCAAAAAATCACATGTGAGCAGTGAATAACGCTTGAAACACGTGAAATTTTATACATGTGATGTGTGAACCGCGAGAGTATTACGCGTTTTACGCGATATGCATGACGTTGCCGAGAGGCCTTTCTATCTGTTCGCTGATCAACGTTAAGCTCGATTGAGAAAACCGTGGCGCGTTGTAGAGGAAATGGCGGAGGTTACATTACCTTCAGTGACTTAGAGGCATCATGCTCTGAGTCGGACATGTGAACAACAGTTGCCCTGCCAATTCGGAAAAAGACCTATTCCACTTTACGCCCCACTG